CCATCTTAGGACATATAAAAAAATGTAATTAGACATTTCATTCGCAGAGTTTCACATCTGTATTAAAAAATATTTACTTGTTTCTGTATTTTTAAAAGAAATTTAAAAATAAATAAGCAAACAATTTTATGAAGCTGAGCTAATAACATACAATAAATTGGTAAAATTTCGTTCAGTTTTGTGAAATGCAGCGAATTTTCGACAGAAAATCTCTTATTGCCGGGCCCTGATAACGAAAACGTGGATAAATTCAATTGTTAAGTTTAGAAAAAGCCTCTAACACATGGTGTAGTCAGATTCCATGTTTTGTTGATCCTTGTAACCGAAAAATCGATTGACGACAAAACGACTGTCCCAACAACGCTAGCGGCTTATCCGTTCGTTCATATTCAATTCATCTGGCTGATGGGGCGATCCCTTGAACTTGAAATCGATATTTTAATTTTGGAGAGTACTTTACTTGAAGTCCCTGGGACATTTCCAAAGAAATGGCTCCAGCGTTTTTTATTAAATTGTGTTGGATAGAGTGACAAACATTTATGAGAATGGTGCAGTCCTAATGTTCATTGAAAACCATAATTTTTCGAAAATTGGACAAATTCCATTTTTCGGCGTGATATTATGAAGATAAACAATTTTACTTAATGAAATGTGTTTATGAAAAACAGATGAAAATAATATCATGACCAGTTTTCCGCAAAAATTAATATTTTGTGTCAATCAGTGGCAATTGTAATTTTCTTTAAACCATTTTTTCTTAAAAACGGCATTTTTTTATTAAACTCCGACCTCACATGGCATAAAGAACGCTTAAGAGAATGGTGCAGGTCTCATGTTTGTTGAAATGCCGCATTTTTCGAAAATTAAAAAATTCGGTGTTTTTTGTACAACTACAATTGTGAAGATACATTTTTTTCTTAATGAAATGTGTTCATCAAAAACAGATCTTTAAATAAGGTAATGTAGAATTTTTCAAAATCATGAGTAGTTTTTGAGTTATTTGGCATCAAACGCCCGCTCTGAATATCCTGCCATCCGTGAACATAATCGGTGATTCCTGGCAGTTGGATGCTACGTAAGTTAGACTTTGTATACTATTTCATATTTCTTTCTTCGTTTCGTAAATTCGAGCTTTTATTAGACATTAAAAATTAATATTTTAGGAATTCTTTAAAACCTATTTTAAATACATAAAATAAAAGCTGCTAGCCTTTAAGGAATACCGGAATCGGCACTTCGTCATTACGTCACTTTATTGTTCCATGATTTAGGTGCATGAAAAGCAATTATATTTATGTTGATATTTGCTTGAAAATATTTAGTTTGAGTACAGAATGTACGATTTGTAATGAGTTTTACAAAAAATATGTCTGAAATGTGTTAATTTGGAAAGAAATTGTGGTATAAATAGTACTATATAACTATGAATAAATGCGAGAAAGTACGCATTTTTGTTTCACCAGTTTTTCTTTGTGTTATATGCAATGAATGTGTTGTTGCCTGAAGGTGTGAAGAGATAAAATGTTCTACTCTTAGTCAGTGATGCAGCCCCTTACATGATAATAGTTAGCGAGTTGTACAGCTTCTCTACCCTAAAAATGATATATGTAACACGTATTGTACATGTCCCAAATTGAGTTGGGAAAGAAAATCCTGGATATCCTCTTGATGTAGATAAGTTAATTTCTGCAGTAAAGAAAATAGTAATCAAAGCTCCGTTACAAGTGCAAAAACTCAAGGAATTGGTTCCTTTCTTGACACTGTCTCTCCAACCTATCATTACACGTTCAGGTACGAGGCATATCGCTGCAAACTACTACTGGAGCGATTAAAAAGCTATAGAAGAGGTTAACGCAATTAATGAAGGTGAAAAAACCTCCATCAAACCGCTGAGTCACAGGTTTCAAGAACCTTATTGACCGCAGATCACACTTATATCAAAACCAAATTTTTTTATAATCATATTTAAGATTATATATTTTCATTATTGAACAAGGTCACAAATGCTTGCATATTTCAAACAGTTTTAGGGCCCTAGTCATAAAACACAAATGAAAGAGTATTACATGTTGATTATAGACTATAGATATAAATAAAACTGTAAATTATTTTAATCTTGCCAAAATCGAAGTTGGCATTTTAATTAAAAGAATTGATTAATGTAAATTTTAAAATATGTATCCTACAGTTCTGAATATATATTTCTGATAATAAATGATAAACACTTTTGATATACGATTCACAGAGAAAATTGCATCATTGAATTAAGAGTTCGGACCGTTCAAATAACAATGAGGATCGTCACCTGTGTTCAACTAATTAATTACACTCAATAATAATCAATTACATCAATAACAAAATTGAAAACAATGTATTGAAACGAAGAACGTTTCTGTATTAGAACAATTAAAATTGATCACTAATTATAATTAAAATAAAGTACTGGAGTTGATCAGCGCAGTAACGCCGCCGCCGCCACCAACGGTCAAATCGGGGGGTAAACGGCGAGGCGAGCGACGGACGGGGCAGTGCTGCGTCCAAGAGATTAATTGTCGTTGTTAAGTGCAGTTCGGACTGAGTGTGGCCGCTGAGTGTGGAACCAGGTTGATAAGGATTAACAATCAGATGATTAGTGAAAGTGGAATTGCGCACCAGAACTGATAAAAACCAATAAGACAGGAAATCGTGTGGCCGATGGACTCGTGTCATATTCCCGCCCTGGTAAAATATAACAGTGGGCAGTACTGTACGGACATCCGCGCAAAGTGGAGAAAGGTCGCTGAAAAGACTAGAACTTCCGACGAACATCAATCACGCGTCGTGCGTTCCAGTACCCGTGAGACATTATTCGTACCGGCTGGGGGTGGACCCCGGCGAATTCATCGGCCGTTACGTTGGGGCCAGAGAAGTTGGTCGCCGAAGGAGGACGAATTCCCGGCGGACTTCGGGGCGAACCGAAGATTGCCGAAGACACCGCCGCCGTTGCCACGACGGCCCCGGTCGCCTCTAGAGGAAGCAGGTGGTTTTTAAAACATCAAGGTAGCGTTGACCGTGCGCTTGTTTCCAAGGCCTGCGCATTGCGATTTGTAAATACTACTTGTAAAGTGTGTTTTCTGATCATTAAAATATTTAAATGTGCAAAAGAATTTATAACCATTATCTTCCTATGCTGCGCCAAATTCCTGGAGACCCATTCACGAAAATGTACATGTCCCTTGCATAATTTATTTGTCGTGAAAGTACCGCTTCCCAGGTACGTCACAGTATATAATTGTAGCACAATTAACTTCAAGCATTAATGTAAATGAATAATTTTATGTTTATAAGAGCTTCCAAATTTGTCTCCCCACCGAATAAAAGATAGCCGAGATCGCTAAGGCAGTAGTGTTGTGGTTATCTCGGATCGCTGGTTCGAACCCCGCCCTGGGCATAAATTTATTTTAGATCGTCCCTTCATACTCATCTTATCACTTCATTAAAGAAGGACCCTGCGCGAGCAGGAGGTCCTTGACCTTAATGGAATGTGCAGTTGACTAATAATAAAAAATAAATGATCCGAAATTCCGCCTAATATGTTGCTTTATATTTATAATTTTATATGTATTTCCTAACTGTATAAAATAAACATATATTACAGAAATATTGAGGGTAGAAATATGTCCAAGAATAATCTCTGCAGTGGTGTGACAAACGCTTACTTGCAGGGGAAGGAGGGTTGATAGCAATACAAAAATATGTATGAATATAGGACATTAAGTTGGTTGGTGTATAATAGTTAGGACAATTTATTGTCATTATGTATGTATCGGCCATTTCTGAACACACTATACGTTCTTTCAAGACCCAGTCGTATTCTATCTTGGAGAGCGAGTAACGTGTGTAATTATGGGGATCTTATCCCTAGATATGAAATGTTGATAAGCCTTGGATTATGAATTATATGATGTTGAGAGGTGAAAGGACAATCACAAATACGACCATATGACCATGCCAGTATTCAAATCCATAGCCTCCTGAGAGCAAACGACGGCAACCGTTATTATTATTGACGATATTTGGGAGAAGGGGGGGAAGACATTAATTCAGTATATTAAATATGAAATGAAAAATTCCGTGGTGGTAGCAGATATCTCGTGGTAATCCAAAATGTGAGAAAGGAAATGAAAGTCAATGTATGGCATTTATCTTCGTGATTGGTATACTTGGTCTGCATGAACAGTGTGAACTGGTAGCTCCGATATTTTTTGAAGTTTTACGTGGATGAAGACCACGATTAGAATACACGATAATTAGGTTTAGGGGGTGAAAGCCTAATGATCCCAGTGATAAATGCGTGACGTACAGAATGTCGGTATAGTAAAGAAATATCACTCGCGAGGTTGCCGCGAGTATACCTATCCGGCTGATTACGACAGCGAATAGACGTCAGCTTTTCGCAGTGTCGGCAATTGAGACGCTGCTAGACGGCACGCATTCCCGCAGACACTCCGGCAACACCTTCAAGTACCTGAGAGTGCACATCCAGCATGGCGGAGGGTTGAATCCCAGCAAGTGTCAGCCCGAGGGATAATCGACATCGTAATGCACCATAGGAATATCGCAACGAACTACAGAAACATTCGCTACCGAAGTATTGGGAGTGGGGACTTTCCCACATTTTTAATTGAAAAATATTATTTTGCCCATTTTGCCCAAAACTCTCTAATAATAACATAGTTTTACTTTGACTACTTTTTTACGTATGAGGAACTTGCGTCTTAAAAGCATTTTTCATGAGAAATATGAATAAACATAAACGATATGCTAATTAAATGAGAACTGCAACACTATTGCATTGTATATTTTTCTCTAAAACTTACCTAATATTACATTTTTGTATTGAAAATTATTTTTTTAAGCTGTTAGGAAAAACTTTAATATACGTAGAGAAAAAACATTAATTAATAAATAGACTTATTTTAAAATAGACTTAAATTAATAAGTTGTTCAAAACGCCCTCCATGCAAATGCTGACATGCTAGGTCACGGGATGCACTGGATCGTAGCACATTTTGCAATAATCGGCTGGCGTTAATATGGGCCAAAATTGCATGCATTCGCACGATATCCTCGATATTTGTCGACGCCGTCGCATAGACTTGATTTTTCACATAGCTCCAAAAGAAAACAAATCCTTGGTTGGCAGGTCGGGCGATCGTGGCGGCCAGGATTGTGGCCTCCACGGCCTATCCAGCGGACTGGGAAGCAGGTGCGCCAGCACGTCTTGGCTGTAGTGCGATGGCCCAACATCGTGCTGAAACCATATTCTTCTGCGAAGGTACGCCTGCTCATTCCGACGACAAGGAAGGACGTACGGACCGATTATTCTGTTACCCAGAATGTTTATGTTCCATCGTACCCGATGTTGAGTGAGCGGGTGGCACGTGGTTTCATCGCATCCCACCAACGTTCATTGTGCTGGTTGAACGCACCTTCTCGAGTAAAGCTGGATCCATCACTTCACAGAAGGCGGGAACTTTAATCATGATCTGGGCTGTCTGGGTGACGCCGCGTCGATGGCTGATGTGCCGACGTTTCGACCGACATGTCGCGGTCCTCTTCAGGGGCTGTACTGCGCAATGATGTAGG